ACACACACACACACACACACACACACACACACACACACACACTTTATGGATGATTTTTAGGGTTAAATTTCTAGTATAATACATGGGTAAGTACAGTAAGTGTATTCATGTGAATGGCGTGCCTAAAAAATATCAGATTTTGGTTCTTTTTTATTTTCCTATTTTTTCTGCCACACAAACTTCAAATTACGACTCGACTTTTCTATACTTGCCCTCTAAGATCCAATAAGTTGAACTCACCTGATTTAAATGAAATCTTCAGAGTTTTGCTAACCGATCAGAKTGAGCTGAAACCTCCTCCTCCTTTCAGGACAGCTATGAGGAAGAGGACGATGAAGAATTGGGGCTGCAGTCAGGCAGCGAAGGCACCAGCTCGGAGCCTCGCGACAACCACACGGACACTTCGAMGGCGGAGGTCAGCGTCAGCAACCGTCCTTGGCGAGCCGCGGTGCTTCGCGGGGCCGTCAGCTCGAGGAGCTTCACAGGCAGCCAGGAGGCTCCGGAGGTCCGCAGGCGGTCCACCAGGTCTCTGTCCGCCCACATCCGGAACAACGAGTACCAGCCGCCTAAAGGACAAGACGTGAAGGTGAGACYCCTCCCAGTTTGATCTGAAGTTATTATAATAAGAAACAAACCTCTAAATGATTGATKTCTATAAACATGAGGGAATGTGTGCTCAGGCTGAGGAGGACGACGGGCAGCTGGTTTTAGACAGAAACCCTCTGGAGTGGAGCGTCGATGAAGTCGTCCAGTTCATTAACTCCACTGATTGTGCGTCGCTGGCCAACATCTTCAAAGAACAGGTACGCACAACAACTAGTTTTCTACTTTCTGTTTATTACAGCTATGTGTAACGTCAACATCTGATGAAATTATGCTTTGTGTAGCCTGGTTGATTCACTCCAAACAATGCAAACATGCTGAATTCACTTTTCTTTTTTTCTTTTTTCTTTTTTTTCGAGACATTTTAATCAAAATTCGCATTACAGTTGGATGGAAACACAACTCTTGACATGTTTCATAAGTTATTAGTTCAGCTAATAGTTTGTTTTGTTTATAATCTTATTCAGACTCAATTATTTTTTAAGTAGTCATATCATGCAAAATCCACTTTCTTAGCTGTTAAATACATTTTGTTGTGTACTTGGAGTCTCTTGGAGTGAAGAAAACTTGAATTTAGTCTCTCCCAGTGCTGCATAGATATCTRTWTATTCAGTTTGGGTCATATTTTTCAACCTGTTCTGATTTCTCTGACGTTTTCTGAACTATTACATCACAGTTTTTACAACAGACTTWATATARACCCCAAATRAATGATTTAAATGTGAAAAAGAWGGATTTAAAAGCATGATGTGTCTCCTTTAATRTTAATGCAACAAAAAACCTCACTTTTCGTTATTCCATGCATCYTCTAAACCAGTGGCTCCCAAAGTTGGGGTCCGGACCCCTCAGCGGTCTTTAAAACCACAGAATCTGTGTAGCAGCTTTAATGAAAGTGTTGTTGCAGGACATCGACGGTCAGGCCCTGCTGCTGCTGACTCTGCCCACAGTTCAGGAGTGTATGGACCTGAAGCTCGGACCTGCCATCAAGCTGTGTCACCAGATCGAGCGGGTCAAGGTTGCCTTTTACAAACAATACGCCAACTGAGCCCAGACTCRGTGAGAGACCCTCCAAACTCCTAATCATGCACATCTAGTGGGGAAACRTGGATCAGCTGCCTCCTCATGGAAACGTTTTGATGTTTGTTTTTGTTTTTCGATTCCAAGTACTCCTCTTTTTTTATCTGTTGTTTCTAAAGAGCACAAACAGGGTGAACACAAGAAGAMAACTTCCCCACAAGTCTTTGAAGGAAACATTTCCAGGAAACTTTCCGTCTGAGGATCTTTATGCAGAACCCAAAACAAAAGAAAAGAAACTTTAACTCCCCGCTGCCTGCTCCGGCAAATCAAACACAAGAGTTTGTGAGTTTTTGCTGATCTGTGAAGAAGTTATATCAAGAAGAAACAGGTATTAATTTAATTTAATTTGCCACAGGAGGACATCATATTGAAAGGACTTTTATTTTTCTGTGTAATTTGTTCTTATAAAATATAATCAAGGAGTATTTATCAAACCAAGGAGTAATATATTTGCAATATTTATTGCTATCCTAATTTTTAAGGACCAATTTGCCAATTTAAATACAGGTAAAATAAGATGACATGATCTCAGCAAAAAGTCCTTTTTCCACTGAAACAAAAACCAAATGTTTTGATTTCCACCTGAGTTTGTGGCTTGAAAATAAGGCATGTTATGTGAAAGAATACCACTCTTTCCTCCTTGTTACAGTCAGGAAAAAAAAACAATTCAAGCTATTTTGTGTCCATCTATGCAATTGTAGTGCAGATATTTTTGATAAGAAATTAAATTTTTATGGATTTTTATCTGTTTTTTGCCTTGTTTTTCCTCTTCGGTGAGTCACATTTTCCTGTTTACTGTTTAAGCAGCAAGATGCAAAACATGTTTTAGAAAAGAATCTTACTGCAGAAAGCACAGATTTAGCTCTGTAGACATTTTTACACCTAAATGTAGGAAATTATGTCCTCTTTCACATAATACAAATCTTCAACTTGTATGTTTAATTTTTTTTTTCACTAAAAGCATCCAAATAAGAAACTCCAAGCTTAACCCATTTGATGTTAGCAGACACTTCCTCATGCAGGGCGACATGTAGGAAGTCACTGTGGTTTACAGAAAAAAACATGCAAAACACAAAGTTAGAGCTTAAAGAGGAACCTCTGCTTCATCTGCTGCTCTGAAAAAACTATTATCGTTAATTCACTCAGTCTTGGCCACTTTTGCTTTGTAAATAAATAAATTACGCAGCAAATTTTTAAAGGAAACGCATTGCAAAGTGTTTTTTCTAAAGATTGGACCAAATCAAAGTGCTCCATGTYAACGAAGTTACAAAATGATCTCATCTATTCTGATTGACTCAGGAGAAGTTCAACACCTTCAAGATCTACCACCAAGCAAGAGGCCTCATGAAGAGCAAGGAGCTCCGCTCAAAGTTATTGAAAAGTACAGATCTGTAACTCTGACTGTTACATGGAGCTCTGGTACWTATTRGCTAACAGCGATCATGACATCACARCAAACCTGCCAAGAGAGACTAGTCTMCAGAACTCACAGTCCGAACCAGGTTAACAGATCATTTCACTAACGGGGAAAATGCTGAGGTTTCTATGAAGACACTATTAGTGCAAATTCAACAAGTTCAAAGAGCAGATTTATAGTTTTTTTTATGAAAAATCTCATCTAAGTTTAATACAAATCASTTCAGAGCAAATRCATCAGGTAAATTTTGTAAMTTTACTGGTTGAATTAGTTTAATTTCAATTGTKTTTTTATAGCAACCTCAGCATTTTCACAATAAACGTGCGAGTTCGGCCCGTTTCATGAGTTCGGAGCAATTTTTAAATGAGCAACACGATGGAGCTGAGCAGCTCTTCAGAGACAGATCTGTTCAGTCAGAAGGACCACAAGCTGCTCAGAGCTCCGCTTCATGAAYGAGTGGAAAAAATATGGGTTAAGAAAAGTAGTGCAGTGAACCTTYTGACATTTGGGAGACTCCTCAGATAAGTGGAAGAAGGTGCCTCCCAGTGAACCAGGATGGACCTTCTTTCAGCCTGGATGYTSTTCCTCAGCAGGAACTGGTCTGAGTTGAAGGAAAGACCGGTAGCGTAAAATATAAACTGTTTTAAAAACATTWAATTTGAACCTCTGTCACGGAAACRATTCTTTTAAACAATACAGCGGGTAAAATAAGTATTGAACACGTCACCATTTTTCTCAGTAAATATATTACTAGAGGTGCTAATGACATGAAATGTTCACCAGATGTCGGTAACAACCCAAGTGATCCATACATACAAAGAAATCAAACCATAAATGTCCAGAAATGAAGTTATTTGTAATAATGTGGAATGGCACAGGGAAAAAGTATTGAACACACTTACTGAAATTTATCTAATACTTTGTACAAAAGTCTTTGTTGTCAATGACAGCTTCAAGACGCCTCCTGTATGGAGAAACTAGTGGCATGCATTGCTCAGGTGTGATTTTGGCCCATTCTTCCACAAACAGTCTTCAAATCTTGAAGGTTTTGTGGACCTCTTCTATGAACTCTGATCTTTAGTTCTTTCCATAGATTTTCWGTTGGATTCAGGTCAGGTGATTGGCTGGGCCATTCCAGCAGCTTTAGTTTCTTTCTCTGAAACCAACTGAGAGTTTCCTTGGCTTTGTGTTTGGGCTCATTGTCTTGCTGAAATGTCCAGCCACGTTTCATCTTCATCATCCTGGTAGATGGAAGCAGAGTTTTATCAAGAATGTCTCTGTACATTTTTCCACTCATCCTTCCTTCAATTATTTGAAGTTTGCCAGTACCATATGCTGAAAAACAGCCCCACACCATGATGTTCCCACCTCCAAACTTCACTGTTGGTATGGTGTTTTTGGGCTGATGTGCAGTGCCATTTGACCTCCAAACATGATGTGTATTCTGGCATCCAAACAGTTCAATGTTGGTCTCATCTGACCAGACTATATTCTCCCAGTATTACACAGGCTTGTTTAAATGTTGTGCAGCAAACTTTAAAGGAGCTTCAACATGCTGTTTCTTCAGCAGTGGAGTCTTGCGTGGTGAGCGTGCATACAGGCCATGGTGGTTCAGTGCATTACTTATTGGTTTCTTTGAAACAATCGTACCTGCTAATTCCAGGTCTTTCTGAAGCTCTCCACAAGTGGTCCTTGGCTCTTGGACAACTCTTCTGATAATTCTTTTCACTCCTCTGTCAGAAATCTTGYGAGGAGCACCTGGTCGTGGTCGGTTTCTGGTGAAATAATGTTCTTTCCATTTCTGAATTATGGCCCCAACAGTGCTCACTGGAACCTTCAGAAGTTTAGACATTCTTCTGTAACCGATGCCATCATTATGCTTTGCAACAATAAGGTTGTGAAGGTCTTGAGAGAGCTCTTTACTTTTACCCATCATCAGATGGTTCTTGTGTGATACCTGGCCATCATTTGGGACTGAACCAGCTGATATTAACTTGCACTGGCAAGGGGCAGGCTTGCTTTCTAATTACTGAGAGAGATCAGCTGGTGTCTTGGCTTTCCATGCCTTTTTACACCTCCCTTTCTTCATGTGTTCAATACTTTTTCCCTGTGCCATTCCACATTATTACAAATAACTTCATTTCTGGACATTTATGGTTTGATTTCTTTGTATGTATGGATCACTTGGGTTGTTACCGACATCTGGTGAAMATTTCATGTCATTAGCACCTCTAGTAATATAGTTAGAGAAAAATGGTGACGTGTTCAATACTTATTTTACCCACTGTATATTGAATTGTTGTATTACAGAATAAACAAGTGATAGTGGTGTAGTTAACATAAAACTTAAATTAAACATAACATAATCCCCAAAATAAACAAATGAGAATAAAAAAACAAGTACACGGCACAAATAAGAATAAATTTGTGCTAAGCATCATTTTCTAACTTCATTCCCGTCATGTCTCAGAATCTGCTCCCTTTCCTCGTAGTTCCACTACAATATGCCATCTCCTTCACCCATTTATTTTCTCCCAGTGCAAAGATATTAACCAGTCTTCAAGTCGAATGATCGTAGATAAACTATCAACCAGATTTGTTTCTGTCCAGTCAGAGCTCAGATCAACAACAGAGCTGCTGTTCTTGTGAAGAAGTTGTTTCTACTGCTCTGCCTCTAACAGCTGAATGGAACAAACTTCACTCCTGTTTGTTCCCAACAGCTCATCCTACAGTCAGAAATCAACTCACTGAATGAAGAATCGTTTTAATTTTAGGGATTAAATGATCACTGCAGCAACTTTTCAWTAGGTTTGGACGAAAACAAGCTTAGTGTGTTGTCACAATAATAAAACCGATAAATAGGGGTTTTATTTTGCAAACAGCGTTTGTATTTGAGACAATAGGGCCGTTAGTTGTCCATGGAGGCAAAATGACAGCAGTTGTAGTGATGATGGCTGTTTCATGTAGCAGGTAATGTTGTGTTAGTCATGCATGAAGCACGTCTGTTTGCAGTCGTTCAGACAGGCCTCTCTCCGTCCCTCCGCTGCAKCTGAAATCATTTAATATCTCTCTCTCACACACGGAGCTTTTTCTGCCACTTTCTATCGAGTCATTCTGAAAAAAAAAAGCTGCTGCCTTTTTTATTTTTTCTGTTGCCTGGCAACTTCATATCAAACGTCCGCTTTGCATGATTTCCCTGCTGTTGTGTGTGAATACAAAGTCCTGACAGCAGAGGAGTAAACACATCTGAGTTAAAGTGGAGCGCTGAGCGACGTAGTTTTAATAGTTTTAGACATGCAAAATGTAAATAAACACTTCAAAAGTTAATAAAACTTCCTGTTTGATTCTAATTTTACAACAAAGCTGTGGGATGCTGAACAAAATTAAAAGTTTTTAAAAGTAACAGAAAAATCAACAGAAACATTAATGAAACTTAAAGATAATTCAGGAGAAAACTGTTTAAAAGGAAGAGCAAAACAAAATGATACGCTAAAAATATATAAAAACAACAAAACAAGAAGCACAGAAACAAAAGTAAATAAATCAGCAGGAAAATATTAGATAATACAAAATGAGATAAAAGACATGACATTCAAGAAAACAGAAACAGCATTTAAAAGGGGACAAAAAAACAAACCTTTAAATTCAATAAAACTGTAAAAAAAATATCCAAATAAAGACTGAAAACAAAATAAAAGCAACAAAACCAGAAGAGTGTTAAATAAAAACACAGAAAATAGCAATTAAATCAAATCTACAATAAAACTCAAAACAAGGTAAAAACACCAGCAGCTATTTAGGATAAAAAAGTTCATAATTGTGATATTTAAGTGAAAAAAAAWTTGATTTACAGCATTATAAATACTGATGAAAATGCACCAAAACACCTGCATGATRACTTTATTGAAACATTTTAAAGCATTCTGTCATGCCTGCTGAGGATGTTTTAATGTGGTGGAAACCGCATCCCCCCACYCCACCCCCACAGCTGAGTGGAACAAGCCCACCACCACCTCCCACCTTTCACCACCAAGGTGGGACAGTTTGTCAACACATGGAAATAGTCCTCTTTTAGTGTGACAAACCCTCCGTCAGCAGGATAAAATACTATGTTGTTTTATTGTTTTGCTTTAATTACATGCAGATAAACTCCAGATTTTAAACCGCAATAAAAGAGCAGCTCAGCGAAGAGCCTCCAGCACTGAGTCGGGGGAGGAGAAGGTGGGAGACGGAGGTGCAGGAAAGAGAGGAGGTGTGCAGAGGATGAGTGATGGGGAGGAAACACCAGCGAGGGAGGGAGCTGAGGTCTGCTGGCTGGGAAGTAAAACAAGACAAAGTGGTTAAAGAGCAGGTACTGAACTGGACTCTGAAACATCAAACACTCAGTGCAAGCGCAAAACA